GACGATCATTTCGAGGGAGAAGCGAGGAGGAGAAGCGACTCTGTTCACCTGTGAACACCGTTTCGGTTTCTATCGCGAGTCGACCGATGGCTTGGCGACGGTCCGGAGTCTGTGTACCAAAAGTGAGAAGGTTGAAAATGGTGCGCTCGGCCCGCGACGAAACGGTTAAAAAAATGCGCGATCGATCACGAGGAGAGAGAAAAGTGTGTATTCACGTCGAAACAGCCGTGTCGACGAGCGGCTCGGGCGGCCTAGAGGTCGTCATCTCGAAATCGCTCCGAGCCTCTCCTAGAAAGCGGAGAGCGGAGGAATCGAAAATCTCAAGCTCTCGAAAATCTCAAATCCTGGTATTAAATGATACCAGAGAGAGCGTTCCGCGAATACGGCAAAGGCGGTGAGACGTCGTTATCGTGGAACGGGTTTGCCGCATAGATAATTTAATCGAACTTTACGACGCGTTACGATTATCAGCCGGACTGTAGTTCAACTGTAGTAAGCTTTAGTTCCAGTTGTTTGGCTACCACTATCTTCGTAATAACGATTATCGTGTCCCGTCTGTCGTCACACCGGCGACCGGCGAAAGCGATGACGCTCGCGGTGGGACTCGTTAAACGTAGAATATATTCATCGCGATTGCGTCCGCATAATCGACCGTCTGACAAAGAAGCGTAACGAAAAACGAACGCTCGCGCCGCATACATGGAAATACGGAAGTTGGGCAAAATCTCGTGATAATACGCTTCGTTTCCTTCCAATTGCGGTCGCTTCATAATTTGTCCGTTTGTTTTCCTTACGGGCGCAGACGCGACATATACAAAGTGTTCTCCGCGTTGCGAATTTTTCGTGGAATTTTAAATACCATTTCTCTTTACGAAGATTTATAAAATCCAAATAATAGTAATTTTATTTATTTATTTATTTTAAATAAACGATCGCGAAACTGAAAGGCTTTTTGAAAACTCAGAGGAACAAATAGACAAAATCATACTTTTTTTAATTAATCTCAAATAAAGTTTGCCAAGGACATTAATGTGAAATATACAAAGATACTTGATTGCGGAAGCTGCGATGAAACGATGATACTCCACGGTATCTTCGTTACGGGAAAATCGATCAGAAAGTCCGGACATCTGCAGGCGGTGCACTTCCACAAAAGACACTCTGTATAACGAGTTTTCGATGCACGCCACGCTCATACCGTTCGTCCACGCAATCGGTAACTTAAACGGACTATCGATATTCAGTGGGTGGTCTAAGAATCAAAGAGTTTAAATTTGCCAGAGCGACATCAAAGAAGAGAGAGAGAGAGTGAGAGGGGAAGAGGAGGGGAACGGAGGAAGGAAGCATAAAGGAACGTTCGGACATTGGCCCACCCACGTGCATCACATTATTTTTCTACGTATCGTAAAGCATCGTTAATCGCGCACAGTTTGGATTTCCGGTTTATTCTATTAAAGGCTAAGTACAATAACGTTATAGCGGAACATTACGTAACGCGTTTGTAGCCTTACAATGAGACGTTTCTGCAGCGTTCTCGCGAGACCCCTCTGTCCTCCCGTATGAAAATTAAGCTTTAGGGAAAAGGTAAAGTGAAATGGAAAAGTATTAAGTACCCACGACTACTACCTAAGGGAAAAGATAACGATTCCCCGCTATTGGGCTATTCAGCGCGGAATGAAGTTTTCAGTCAGGAGAGCCGTCGCTTCCTCGACGGGTTACATCACCGGTTACAGAACACCCCGTCCATTCCTGCTGTGTATAGGCGAAAAAGCTAATATTCCGCGTGATTACTCTGCCGTAGCCGGTTATCGTGGCGACATCCGTGCGTATTGTACATCAGCCCGCAGTTCATAATCGACGGAGCAATTCGAATGAGCAGGACCGATGCGACGTGCGACAACTCATCCGTGAAGAGAGAGAGAGAGAGAGAGAGAGAGAGAGAGAGAGAGAGAGAGAGAGAGAGAGAGAGACGACGAC